GTTGTCATCGTTGGCAGCTACTATGAACAATTGACCAAACATGTCAAAATACTTCAATTGTCCTCTTTGTACCCGCCGCCTTGTCCCTTACGCGTCAAAATACAATACCATGAGTACAATGCTTCTCATGCCCCGTCTGCTACCTTCTTCCCTGTCGCTCCCCTGGTCTTCCCTCAACTCCCACTCCTTCGCATGCACTCTTTCTCTTCCCTCACCCATCGGCCTGATGGTCTAAGTAGTAGTATGATTCCTTGTTAGGGTACTCTAACTTTCGAGGAGGTCCCGGGTTCAATTCCCGGTCAGGCCCTGTCTCCAAAACACCTCTTTTGTCCAGCTCAAGATAACTATTTTTGCAACCAGGACCTGTACACGCAAATGCTTGAACACCTGCAAGCTCATTAGTCCGGTTTTACCTGCTATCTCCATTTATCCATATCTTCGCACGCTCATTCGATCATCTGGCAACTGCGCCACAGACAATTCAGACCCCTGCCCTCTTTCTCTTCCACTTTCAACCTGGCAGTATGGCCTGATGGTCTAGTAGTATGATTCCTTGTTAGGGTTCTCCGGAACAGTTTCGAGGAGGTCCCGGGTTCAATTCCCGGTCAGGCCCGGATTGAGAGCATGAAAACATTTTGGTATTTTCATACATGCATGGCCCTCAATTACATATACGCGCTCTGCCCGCATCTATAACGGCGCTCTATTTTGACCACAGCCACCCTATCGTGGTCATAATGTGACACTGCGCCACACATCTTTATATCGGCCTGATGGTCTAGTAGTATGATTCCTTGTTAGGGCGCTAGCTCGTATCGAGGAGGTCCCGGGTTCAATTCCCGGTCAGGCCCGGTGTCATTGGAAAAGCGTTTAGTCTTTTCGTACATGCGCGGCACTCAAACTTTGCCAGTGCATCCAGGTGTTCCTCTTTGTTCTACGCAAAATGTACAGTATCTGTTCCTCTTACACTCACCAGCATCTATTTCAGCCCTTTTTGACCACAACCATACCACCCTGGCCTTATTTCACACTGCGCCACATCATATCATATTGGCCTGATGGTCTAGTAGTATGATTCCTTGTTAGGGTGCTTGCTCGTATCGAGGAGGTCCCGGGTTCAATTCCCGGTCAGGCCCTGGGTGGATTCTGGTTTCCGCGGGGAAAACTTTTTATGTTTTCGTACATGTGTGGCACTCAAACTGCCAGTACATCCAGGTGGTCCCTCTTTGTTGTATCTGATAGTGTAACGTCTCCATTTCCTCTTTCACACACAGCCCAATCTATTTCAGCTCTATTTTGACTACAGCGATACCCCTCGCCATAATTCGGCATGCGCCACATGAGGTCATATTGGCCTGATGGTCTAGTAGTATGATTCCTTGTTAGGGTGCTTACTCGTATCGAGGAGGTCCCGGGTTCAATTCCCGGTCAGGCCC